TTCTATAATAGCCCGTAAAACCTAGGAAACTTCTTAGTTCCCGAATATTTTCTGGAAGCGGATATTTTCTAATGGTTTCAATTTTCTCTGGGTCTGTCTTGATGACGTTATAGGATACCATGTATCCTAGAAAACGGGTTTCGCGTTTGAAAAACTTAGATTTTTCTAAAGAGATTTTCATGTTTGCCCTCAATAATATATTTATAGTTTTGTTTAAATCTGTATAGTGTTGTTCGATTGAGTTTGAGAATATTATAATGTCGTCCATATAGACATGACACGTTTTCCCTATTTGTTCTCTTAGAATATCGTCCATTGCTCTCTGAAAGATTCTTGGTGCATTTGTTAATCCGAATGGCATTCTTAAAAATTCGTATTTTCCATTATTTATCGAAAAGGCTGTTTTTTCGACATCAGATTCTTTCATTAGTATCTGATGAAATCCTGACTCTAAATCTATTGTTGAAAAATATCTTGCTTTTCCCAAATTTAATAGAATTACTGATGGGTCTTGCATTGGGTACCTGTCAGGTATAGTACTTTCATTCAATTTTTTGTAATCAATGACGAGTCTTAATTTACGGCTTCCGTCTTGATTCTCTCCTTTCTTTGGGACTACCAGAAGTGGTGAATTGTAAGGGATTCTGCTAGGCCTTATTATTTTTTCTGATAACATTTTTTTGATTTCGCTATTCACGAAATCGTTGACAGATAGAGCATACGGATATTGCTTCCCGTATATTGGCCTATCATGGATTAGATTTATTTCCCCCTTTATGTCTGTTCTAAAAGGAATTTGCATATTTATCTTTGAATGCTCCTTTTCAATATAGTGAACTATCTTTTCCCTCAGTCCGCCTAATTGGTCGGTACCTATATTATTTATTTGATTTTTGACGGTATTTACTTCGTCGGCACTCTCAGGATTTTTAATTCCCGAGATATTTTTATTTTTATTGACGGATATTTCTACGTCGGCGTTCTCAGGATTTTTAGTTCCCAAGATATTTTTATTTTTATTGACGGATATTTCTACGTCGGCGTTCTCAGGATTTTTTGTTCCCAAGACATTTGTATTTTTGTTGACGGATATTTCTACGTCGGCGTTCTCGGGATTTTTTGTTCCCAAGATATTTGTATTTTTGTTGACGGATATTTCTACGTCGGCGTTCTCGGGATTTTTAACTCCCAAGCTTTTTTCACTATTTTCCACAAATAATGAATCTGGGTTTTTGCTACCATTATCATCAAAATACTTTTTTATAATAAATTCTTTTAACGGAAGAATATTATTTTCTTCAATTAAACGTATTTCGTTTTTCTCCTCATTATCATAATATTTTAACTTCTCCTGTTTCCCATTATATTCCAAGATTCCCTTATCTATATTTATTATAGCTCCAATTTTTCTTAATAGATTGAATCCAATTAGAATATCAGATTCTAAACCTTCGATTTCATAAAATAATTGTTTTGTTTCAATTATATTTATAATATGGTAATACCTAATAATTGAGTAGCCATGAACTGTTGTTACCTTTTTGTATATTGGTAGCTCGTTTTTATTTTCAAAAATTCCCCTTTTTATGTAACAAGCAGTGGCTCCTGTATCTATTAAAACTTTTAGCTGCTTCTTGGTTTTTCGATCTATCCTATTTAAATAAGGCATTCCTCTGTAGGGGTCTGGTCTAAAAAATGGTCTTCATTAATATTATTTAATCTGGTTACTTTATTAGCTGGCTGACTTTCTGTTCCATCTGATTCCCTTTTTTGAGCTTGAGTTTGCTCTCTATTTTGATTTGTGTTATAAAAATTTGAACGATTTTTATTTTGATGATAATTATTATTATATCTACCTTGATTATCGTTTGCCTGCCAATTATTATATCTTCCCTGGTTACTATTTGGCTGCCAATTTTGGCTCGGCTGCCGATTGTTATTAGATTTATTCTGGAGTTGAATCGGTGGATCAACATCCATTGGCTCGATAGCTTGTTGCTTATGATTATTATTTTGATTATTATTTTGCCAAAAATTTCCCTTTTGTGGCCAATTGTAATTTTGGTTATGATTAAAATTATTTCCCATTTTAGTGGTATTATTATTTTGCCGTATTTGATCAAATCGTAAGTTGTTTCCCCGATATTTACTTTCATTTTTAAATCCATTAAACCTATTTGCGAATTGAGCACGGAAGTTGTTTGATTCTAATTCTTGGACCTTTGCCAAAGCATTGGGCAAATCTGGTGGATTTAATGAGAAAAGAGTTTCTGAAATAGATCCATTAAGTCCGGATATAAATACTCGTAGAGCATTTCCCCTTATTGAATTGTTTGTTTCTTTGGTAATTACACTGTCCTTTCCGTATGTCATTATGGTTTTGTTTATTAGTCATTTTTTTATTGACTTCGTTATAGTACTCAGTAATTGTCATTCGTCCTTGCCTGAGGATACTTAGTTCTGACTCGAGAACATGTATTGGTCGTTTGTCACTATATTTAAAGTCCAATCGGGATAAGATTGCTTTAAAGTTTAAAACTGTGCCATGATTGGTAAGAGCATCATGGACAGCTCCCATAATTTTATTTCGTAAAATTGTTAGGGCGATAAAATATTGTTCACTTTCAATTTTATAGAGACTCATTGCAGTTTCTGCAGCTTCCCTCCAACCTACATATTGTGTTGCTTCCCCTGTGAAATTTGGTAAGGATTTTACCACTTCAAGTGTTGTATCGCATTTTATAGCTGGGTCAATTGTTTGTACTTTATAATCTTCCACAGTGTTTGCATCTGTGGCTAGCCTTCCTTCTAAACATTCTACTTTCCTGCTAACTTCATTCAATTGAGCGTTTATTAATCTGTTTATCAATTCTACTGTTAAACTGCCGGCTGTGGCTACACTGCCTGCAGAAAAATTTGGTGCTGAACCTCCGGTTGCCATTGTTAGATTTATTTCACAAAAGCTATTTATCAAATCTTCCAGAATTATTCTTTATATTTTTTTATTTTATATTATTTTTCTCGAATTTACAGGTCTTAAATTTTAGTCTTTAATTTTTTTATTTTAAATTAATTCCTCACGATATTGTCCCGTTGGGGTCTTCCTTCTGTGTGGTTGGTGGTTGATAGAGAATGTCCTGTCTTCCTTCCTTGGGTTTTTTTGTTGGAGCGAGTTGTCGTTTTTATTTGAGAATGTCCTGCCTTCCTTTCCTGGTTTTTCTTGTTGGAGTTGTCGTTTTATTTGTTTTTGTTGTTCTTGTTTGTTTTTTTTGTTGTGCGTTGATTTTTTTTTAGTTTTTGTGTTCTTGTAATTGTTTGGTTTGAAATTTCGGTCCACCTTTGTTTTAATTCACTCTTTATGGATTATTACATTAATTAATTTCCATTTACTTTATTGTTAACGATCACTGTCACTTGGTAGTGTCGTTTGGTGGATGTTTTAATTTTTCCACTAAAAATGTTGAGTTGTTGACCGCGCGAGTTCCGTTTATGTTTAACTTATTTTTCATTAAACTATTTTTTGGAGCTTTATGTGACGCGGCCCCACGTTGGGCGCCAGTTAAATTGTTTGTAGTTCGGTGAATTAAAAAAATGAAAATTTTATTTTTTGATTTCACAACTTGGTGTTAAACCTTTATTTATTAAACGCAAAAATTACAAGACACTTTTGGTTTTTTCTTAAATACTTTTGTCAACCGTTCGCGGTCTCGGTCAAAATAGGACTGACTTCTAAATTCTAAATCTGATCCAAAGAACCTCGGCCATCAGTTGTGTTTAGATTAGAGGCTTAAGATGAAACTGTCGCATCTTATTGTGAAATTCGATTAAGCTGATCGATGCAATTTGGTGGGTACTTGAAACGCAAAAGGCGTAATTGATTGGGCTTCGGAGGGAAGCTGATGTTTACTTTTGATTTTGATTTGTTTATGGGGAACCGAGATCGCGCCTCAGAGCCAAAGACAAAGCCGAAGGCAAATGCAGAGTTTGAAAATATTGTTTATAAAATTCATAAGTGGAAAGCCATAAGTGGCCTGGATTTATGGGTTGGATAATTGAGCCAAAGATCAAGCCAAAGGCAAATGCAGAGATTGAAAATATTGTTTATAAAAGCCATATGTGGCCTGTATTTAGGGGTTGGATAACTTGTACATACATATGTACATATTATATAAGGTTGTCAAATATCTCCCTTCCGCTTTTTTGCTCTTTATTCAATGCTTTATAAAAAGTGTTACAGTGATCCGATTTAGTTGAAATATGCGCCGTTTTGTTCGATAATCCGTTTCCATCTAGACGGCAACTTCATAATACCTCCCTCGTAGAAGCCCCCCTCCTTATTTGCGAAGAACTCGGACAGCCACTTTTCACAAGCCTCTTTTGAGTTCAACTTTACACCACCAAGGGCGTTCGTCATGGACAGGAACAGGTGGTAATCACTTGGCGCTATGTCCGGGCTATATGGTGGATGCGATAAAACCTCCCATCCGAGCTCCCGTAGCTTCTGACGAGTCATCAACGAAGTGTGTGGTCTGGCGTTGTCCTGGTGGAACACTACACCCTTCCTGTTGGCCAATTCTGGACGCTTCTGGTCGATCGCCTGCTTCAAGCGGTCCAATTGTTCGCAGTAGATGGTAGAATTAAGCGTCTGGCCATATGGGAGCAGCTCATAGTGGATGATTCCCTTCCAATCCCACCAAACACACAGCAAAACCTTCCTGGCCGTCAATCCCGGCTTGGCCACTGTACATATGTACATATATTTATTAAACGGCATTAGCCGCTCTAATCCATAGCGCGAAATCATGAATTGAGTGATATTTTTGAGCGAAAAAAATAAAAATCAAAAATAATAAGAAGATTCACTTTCCATTGTCCGTTGACAAAAAAAAAAAGGGTATTTCATTAAAATAAAACAAATAAACTTATAAAATGTACAAAAAAATTATGTATTCTTTTTATTTTCTAGATCAAAGATGGAGCCCCAAAATAAAATTTTAAAGATGGCGTTTAATGTCGATGGTAAGTAAATTAAATAAAATCAAATTTTTTTATTAATTTATTTTCTCAGACGATGACCTAATTGCGGAGACGCAAATGAGCGAGGTGGAGATAGTCGAGGTGAGCGACTCAAAAATTGATCGCCTAGAGCGAAAAATAGATGATCAGGCGCGGAAACTGGATGAGCAGGCGCGGAAACTGGATGAGCAGGCTAGGGAAATCGCCGCTTGCACCAACCAGCTGGCAAAGTTGACAGCATTGCTGGAGGTCTTTGTTAAGGGAAAGGCCTCCAGCAATGCTGTCAACATGGAATTCCCGATTGCCACCGACGAGGCATTGGCAGCGTTGGAATTCGCCTTAGGCCGCGGCATGAAGGAAGAATGTGTAAGTATAATATTTATAAATTAAATATAAAAAAATTTTAATACCTATTAATTTTTGCAGACTAGCGCAGTGACGAACTTATTGAAGCGCGGAGCCCTTACAAAGTCATTAAAATATATTTTCGTGGAGGACCTGATCGTCAATTACAATATTGACGGAGTAAGTGGTAAGAGGAGTTTAAAGTCGTTTCCAAATTTTTATGGAATTTTGATTGGTATGTATTTTAATTAGAAATAATGTAAGAGATATCTAATTTCTATTTATTTTAATTACAGATAGTATATCTATGGTGGATCCGGGGAAACCGCCGGAGAAATGGTTGGGGCACGCTTTGACAGCCATCAAAAATAATAAAAGCCTTACAGTTCCTCAGTGAATCCCTTATGAATCCCGTAAGATCACGGTATACCCCAGGGATTCCTTGGGGTATTTCCTCAACGATTCCTCAGAGTATACCTCAGGGATTCCTTGGGGTATTTCCTCAACAATTCCTCAGAGTATACCTCAGGGATTCCCTGGGGTATTTCCTCAACGATTCCTCAGAGTATACCTCAGGGATTCCCTGGGGTATTTAGTTTGAAATGCTCTTCGAATAACTGCAGGAATCGTGCAGTATTCCTCGAGTTGTTCGAATTCCTCGATGTGAGGAACTCTTCTATGGAAATTCCTTGATGGTTTGTATGAAACATACCTAGAGGATTCCTCGGGTGGCAATACTAGTACCTAGACGATTCCTTCAGTAATCCTTGAGGTATGGTACTGAAGGGTAAGTATATACATATATATATTTATAGAAGTAATATATACTTTTTATATAAATGAAAGGGAAGACATCATGACCTTTTTATAAATGTATTTGGGTATATAAGGACTTTATAGCTATGAATTTGCTAATTTTATTAGGAATGAAAGAGATGGCTGTATGGATATTTCAAACAATAGCATAGACTCACTCTTAAAAAATATATAAAAGAAGTTTTAGGTTTGATTTTGATCAGTTAATTTTCAAATTTTCAAAATGAAAACTTTCGTTTGTGAACTCTGTATAGAAAGTCCTTCCTTTAAATATCGGTATGGATTAAAACGTCACATTCTAAAAAAACACAACTTCAGCAAAACAAAAGCACGATCCTCATACTATAATTGCTACTTCTGTCCTGAAGTGAAAACGTACTGGCTCCGAAGTGAATTATACAACCATTTCTTAATGGATCATCCAACGATATTAATGGAAATAATTAACTTAACACGAACTTCAAAATATTTCTTTTAAATTTCAAATATTGTTTTTCATTTAATTTCGAATAAATTTGAACTAAACCTGGATAAAAATAAATCCAAAAGTAATAAGTCCAAAAGTAATTTTTTTTTTGTGAAAAAATTTTTATTTTTCATGAAATAAAAATAATTATATAATAATGAAATATGTTAATATAGTCTTTTATTTATTCATTATTTCTAAGCCAATCAATTAAAATTTTATCAAATTCCTCATCCATTAAACTTATATAATTATCATTTCCGTTATTTATTTCTAAAAATATGTGGTCATCGTCCGGGAAAGAAAATTCTGTTGATGATTTTTCCTCTCCCTCGGGGGTCTCCGGAATACAGCACGGAGAAACTGGTATGTCGTCGTCGTCGAATTCCTCGAATATATTTTTTTGAGAGTCCGGGGCATACGTTTTATCCTCGATGGTAGTTGCTGAATAATCCCATGTTGGGGTCAATAAATCGTATATGGATGACATAGAATCATCCTCTAGATTCTTAAAAAGCTCTTCTTGGGTTTTCTCCCCAATACCAATTAATGATAAAAGTGTACCGTTGGATACACAAATATCACTAAGAGCTGGTTGGGTGTCCTCGAATAAAATTTCTAACTTGCTCATATTTTTGTTTTTTATTTTTTGTAAAAAAGAAAAAGCGTAAAAATTGCTTTACCCGGCAATACTAAAAATATACTAAAAATTTGATTCTTAGCATAAACCTCAAAACCTATTGATCCTCGAAAACGGAAAACAGGTACTTGTGTTTGAATGTATTGGTATCATCAATACATGTACATGAGTTAACGCATGAAAACCACCCCAATTTTCCCCACATTTTTCCGGTTAATGAATCGGGAAAACCAATCAGAAGACTCGAAAGAAAAGATAACGCTTAGAGCCTAGAGCCTACAGTAGGGAGTAAATAGGCAATCGGCTGATTTCTTGCATCATATCCGTGTATGCATGTATATGTTGGTGGGAACGTAAATCCACAATCCAATATACACTCACATATATATATAATCCTAAATAAAAAATACATATTGACCTTTCATCCGACCCTGACATAAATATGTCTCCTGCAAGAAAGTGATAAAAAGGGATCGCAGCAGGTCAATTGGTTCCTTTTTTTTTCTTGACCCTTCAGGGTGGATTTTCACTTTTCTACGAAAAGGTTTTCTTGTGATATACTTACTCCTTGTAAAATTCTGTATTATATTTTATATTGTAAAATTAAATTTCTATATATAAGTCCGAGTTAATTTAAAATTAATTAAAAAAGAATTGGAGTAAAAAATCCTTTTAAATGATATGCAACACCATAATAAAATTTTGGATATTTTTTTTTAAATAATTATTTGTTCTTCATCATTAATTTTAAATTAATTACAAAATAATTATAGTAAAATACATTTTTAAATGAACTGCAGCACCATGAATATAATTTTTGTAAATAAGCATTTTATTTTTTGTTCATCAATTTTATTTATTTTTTCACGATCCTGAATCTTATTTATTTTTTCACGATCCTGAATCTTAGACAGGTATCTTAAGTGGACAGTTGAATTTGTAGGGAATTAGGCAAACGGCGTATAAGCGGCAGAAAAATTTTAGTAGTATGCTTATACGCTTATACGCCGTTTGCCTAATTCTGGGTCCATTGGTCCCTCTGGTTCCTTGCCGCTTCACTATGCTGCGGTTCTTCTCTCTTCCACCTCTCGTTTATGGGCGGCTGACTGTGGCTCCACCTTTGTCCTGTGGCCACTTGCCTGTTAAAGGCCTCTTCCTCCTGCGCTAATTCCTCAAACTCCTCTGCTAGGCCCATCACCTCCTCTAAAGACGCGCAGGCGTATGGCCTTATGAACATCTTCATCCTTGGCATGCAGTTTTCGACGAGCCTCTCGATTACTTCTTTCGTGGTTTTGCCTAATGGTTTCATTAGTGACTAAAAGTCCACCATGTACTCTTTGAAAGGCTCTCCACGACGCTGCTTCCGTTGGCGAACTTGGTCCGCCAACTTTTCGAAGTATCCTTTCGGCAGGAAAAAATTCTCAAAGCTTCCCTTGAACCTCGCCCATGTTGGCCATTCTTCGTCGTTCATGATGAACCATCTTTGGGCCCTACCCTGCAGTAGTTCTGGCATGGCTCTGGGGATCGTGTTTATGTCTAATCCGTATGTCTTTGCGGACCACGTTACCCGGTCCAGGAACTCTAACGGGTCCCCTGTGCCGTCGAACCGAAACGACCAGTCTCGCACCTGTCTGGCCACTTTGGCGTAATCCACCGGGGCCGGAACATACTTTCTTGATTGATACTTCTTGATACTTTCGGCTCTATGCTCCTTCCCATTCTTGGATCTGGTACCGCCAGGCTCTCTATAAACTTCTCGGTTTTGCTGGCTGCTCTCTGCCTGGGGGTTGAGCTTTGTCCAAACCTTTCCTCTAGGCCTTGCGTTAACGCCAGTACCTCCTCTTCCTTGGATTCGTCGACCCACCTCGCCACTGAGGATCTCATCGCTTCCACAGTCCCGTCTGCTGGTAGACCGAGCTCTCTACACACTTCGCTCAGCTCCTCCTTTCTCAATGTGTAGATCCAATTCTTTCTTCCCATCTTTCTGCTACGTTATTTTCTAGGCTAGATGCAATCACGAAGTTTGGGCGCCAGGTGTAACGAACTGTTATTCCTGCTTCCGCTCGCCACAATTTGCCGCGGCTAGCTCACAGAGTTTCGCGGATCCGTTCCACCGAATTTATAGATTCGACGTGATTGCCCAAGCCCAGAAAGTAATACAAATAGCTTGAAGTTTCCACACTCTTTATTTTGAGACCTCTTTACACTACAAAAGGCTTTCTTTCTCTTTTACTCGTTGCTCCTTCCGTTCCTGTTGGCTCCGTCGTCGGCGTCCTATGCGGGTTGTCCGGGATACGCTGCCGTTACTCTGTCGCCGCCGTTACTCCGTCGCCGATGGTACTCCTGCCGGAACCCACGGTAACTGGCTTTCACCTTTCCCCCCAACCCCCCGTACTGATCCTGGCGACGTTCCCTTGTGCTGCCCGGGTTGATGACCGGTGGTTGACCCCCTTTTTCCGTTTCCTCGGCCCCCCCTTTGCCCCCGGCTATCTTTCTCAGCGTGTGGGGAGACTAAATCTCCTCACAAAGGGCGCCAAAATTGTAAATATCAACTGCTGAAACATATGTTGACTTTGACAGTTCACAGCTGATCATCAGCATATTGATGAGCTTAGAAAACATCAATTAGCATTTAATCAAGGTTTATACTATCGATAGGTAAACTTAAATTAACGTTTATTTAAATTTGAACATCATAATTAAATGCCGCTAGCCAGGCCTAATCGACCACTGTGCGCGGTGAGCTGCGACAACAGGCCGTTTGCGATCGTGGAAGTAGAGGGAAGCAGCATCGAAGGCCTGTTAGACAGTGGTGCATCCGTCAGTCTCCTCGGTGAAGGATGTCTGGAATTGATAGAAAAATTAGGATTGAGACGGGAAAAGACGCGAGTAATCATGCAGTCCGCGGGCGGTGCAAAACACCAGGTGCTTGGCAAGGTTTATCCGGAGAAAAAATACCAGGTCAAACTCACCGCATCCCGATCCTGCTTTGTCCCTCTTTGAAGCAGGAACTGTACCTGGGCGTAGATTTTTGGAGGAAGTTCCACATCGCGCCCGAGGTCGTGAGGGTCGAATTGTTGGAGAACGTGGAAACCGAGTTCCACAGCAAAGGGAAACCAGTAGAGCCTCACGCCCTAACTAACGAACAACAGGAACTGGATAAGGTAAAGGAAGGTTTCCTATCGTATGAGAAGCAAGGGTTAGGACTCACCACTATGGAACAGCACACCATACAGCTAGTAGAGGGGGCAGTGCCCGTCAAGGAAAGGTTTTATCCAGTGTCCCCGGCCAAGCAGCAACTCTTGTTCGCTGAAGTGGACGAAATGTTGAGACTCGGAGTCATCGAGCTGAGTAAGAGTCGGTGGAATAACCGCACGACGTTGATGCAAAAACCAGGCAAGAACAGGCTGAGCTTGGACGCACGGAAGCTAAATGCATTGACGATGAAGGATGCCTACCCATTGCAGAATATAGA